CTGACTGGAAAGGGTCCAGATAATCTGTTTCATCCAGTATCCTCTGGAGCTGCAATGCCACCACCCTCTCAACCACCTTCCCTAAAAAGGGGAGGTGGGAGACTGGACAAAAATTGTCCAGCACAGTAGGATCCAGGGATGGTTGCTTGAGGAGGGGATGCACCAGCACCTCTTTAAAGGTGACTGGAAACACCTCCTCCCTCAAGGATGAATTCACCATTGCCTGGACCCACCCGCATGTCATCTCCCAAGCGTCCTTGACCAGCCAGGAGGGGCATGGGTCTAGTTGACAAGTGGTAGCATTAACAGTCTGGAGGACCCTGTCCACTTCCTCAGGTCCAACAGGATCAAACTGTTCCCCAATAACAGGGTAAGTCCATACCCTGGGCATCTCCATAGGCCATGCCCCATGCTTAGAATCCAACTGGGAATGGATCCGAGTGATTTTATCCTCCAGATGGCCAGAAAACTCCTCTGCGCGGCCCTGTAAATAGGCCACTGGCCCTCCTTTTCCCAAAAGGGATCGGGTGATCTTAAACAGGGCCGGTGGGCAGCATTCTGCGGATGCAATAAGAGCAGAGAAATATCAACATTTCGCCGCTCTTGCTGCCACAAAGTAGGCCTTAATAGCAGCTCTAGCCTGTGTTCGGTCAGATTTGGTCCTTGTTTTCCTCCAGTGGCGCTCTAGACGTCTCTTAATCCTTTTCAAGACCCTCAACTCCCCTGTAAACCACAGGGAGTGTCGGGCTCGATGGAACAAGAGAGGTCACACAGTCATGATCTTGTCCAAGGCCTCAGCTGTCTTCCTGTTCCAGGCAGCAGCCAAGGCCTCTGCTGGACCATATAGCAGATACTTGGGTGTAACCCCCAGCTCCCTTTGGAACCCTGTTGGGTCCATCAGTCGCTGGGGGTGGACCAGTTGAATAGGTCCTGCCTCCATGGGAGAATCTCAAGGTCACCAGGGTATGATCTGACCATGACAATGGGGACAGATGTAACTCCCCCTTCAGATCATTTTGCCACTGCTCTGACAAAACCAAGTCTGGTGTGAGGCCACTGTCCTGAGTCAGGTCACAAATAATCTGGGACAGGCCCATGGCTGCTATGGTGGCCATGAACTCCCAAGACGCCTCTGAGGCATGCCCTAGGGATGGCAGGTTGAAGTCCCCCAAGACCATAAGTCTGGGGAACTCTACCACCAGCCCCTCATTGGCCTCCAGCAGCTCAGGCAGGGAGGTTGCTATGCACCAGGGACGCTGGTACAGCAACAACAATCCCAGCTGTTCTCGCGAACCCAGCTTCAGGAACAGGGTCTCACAACCGGCTACTTGTGGAGCAACGCCCCTGAAGGCCAACAGAGATTCCCGGATGACAACAGCTACTCCTCCTCCCCTGCCCTGCGGTCTAGGCTGGTGCCAAACTGCAAACCCATCTGGGCACATTTCCGAAAGGGGCACCCCCCCCCCTTCAGGGCCAGCCAGGTCTCGGTGATACACGCCAAGTCAGCCCGCTCCTCAGTGATCAATTCACATATAAGGGGGACCTTGTTGTTAACTGACCTGGCATTAAGAAGCAGCAGCCGAAAGCAGTGACCTCCGTAGGTCTGCTGTCCAGGGACTGGGTCTGAGTCCAGAGGGCTGGAACACACCACCGATAGTAAACACCAGGGGTGTCTTCCCCGAGAGTGGCTCACCCTCTGATTCCCGTCATAACACCCCCTCCCTGTCACCACCTGGATAGTATGACCTACCCTAAACCCCCCAGGGACTCCAATTCCCCCCCAATTGCAGGCTTCTGGCTTCTCTAGTTAGGGGACCCTCCATCCAAACATACAATAACCGTCACCCAATCAATTAAACCAATCAATCAGGGGTGGTGGTGTGCTCCCTGGCACTCCAGCTCCCGCTCTCAGTGCCATAGGAGCCTCACCTCTCAACCCCTTTACACACCATGCCCCCCACACCGACTTCTCTCACTGGTTGGTAGGGGACAACACTCACACACCCACACATTCCCACATCCACCCATGGACTCCCTCCCTGTCTCTCACCCTAGGGAGGGAGACCCAACTAACATCTACTAGAGGGACCCCAACACTCTCTGCAATCGAACCCGCTGGCTTCCAAGTCCTTCAGGTCCCCCCAGGGGGCCAAAGCCGCTGTTCAGGTGCCAGATGCCAAGCCAGTTGTTAGGCCGATGTCCAGGCCTCAGTCCTTCATCATTGGCCCCACTTGGGTCACTCCAGCTGCAGCTCGGGTCCCCGCTAGTGCTCCAGTACCAGTCCAGCCGATTTTCAGGCCCTGAGCAGTAGTCCGGCCTCGAGTCCAACTGAGTTCTAGGCCATCATGGTCCAGAGTTCTTTTCAGGCTGCGTACTCTCTGCATCAACTGGCACAACCGTGGAGCTCTGCCCAGTCCCTGTCACACTCCAGCTAACCTCCACCGGGCTCCGCCAACCTCTGTGCATCTGAGACTGATGCATCAAGCACCCCCAAAGGTCCCAGACTAGAGTGAAAAGTTCTCCGTAGCCAGGGCCTCCTTGAGCTTGTGCCGCTTGCCTTGCATGCCGCGTCCAACTTAACCGTGGGGCTCCACCTTGTGCGCCGCTCGCCTCACATGCCACTCCCCTTGCATGCTGCTCGCCTTGTGCGCCACGTTCAACCCAACTGTGGGGCTCCGCCAGCCACACCGGCTCCGCCAAACTCTGTCCCAAAGTCCGTGGTTTGCCATCTAAGCCTCGGGGCACACAGGGCGCACAGGTAAGTTCTCGGGGCGTTTGGGTAAGATAAAAACCCATAACAACCATCCCTTCGCCTAAACCAGTCCAGAGGCCGATGCTCGCCCACTCTGAGCTGCCATATCCCATCTCTTACCTATAAACAAATCTTTAAAACCTTGTCATTTCAGTCTTGATCAGCAAAAGTCCATTAAGGGTTACCAGAGATAACAACATATCTGATCAAATAAAACAACTTTATATTCCTTCCTTTTACTTTTCCTTCTTTTAATAAACAGCAAAAGGGTGATTAGAACTTTGATTTGATTTTACAATTGGGCTAAGGGTCCAGATGGTTTTGAAATAAGATTTTGGAATTAATTATGAGAAGCCTTCCCATGGGAAAATGCTTTTGTATTGGATTCTTTGAAAAAAAGAAATAGCATGGGACTAGAGGGAACTAGAAGGAACTAAAGATTACAGTTAAAGGAGAACACTTAAATTTGACTTACTGATCTTTAGTCCCTTCAAATAATGTCCTAGAACTTGATTTCTTTTCATTTTTTCTTTGTCCCATCTCACAAAATTCTGAAAAGCTTTAACAAGCCTCTTGTAAATCCAATATAGAAAAATTATCCAGGTCATTCTCTTGGTTTGTTATTTGTATATACCTTTTAATTACTAAGACATCAGCTGGTTTCTTTTGTATGTCCAGTGTAGCATCTTTTTCCATATCATTCATGTAGCCTTTCATTTTTAAATCCACTTTCAAATCAGTCTCAGTCTTGTCCGGTAAAACATGTTTCTCTTCCATAACATCTTTTAAACACCGTCTGTCTGTAGAGGCAGGCACTCTTAAAATTAACTTCTGGGTCCATTGTTCAAAAATATCCTTCAATATATCCAGTGTTAAAATAGTTTGCTCCATTCTGTATTAATAAGTCAAATTTAAGTGTTCTTCTCCTTTAATTCTGATCTTTAGTTCCTTCTGGTTCCCTCTAGTGTCCAACCTTCAAAGTCCCATGCTATCATTTTTATTAAAAATAATTCAAAACAAAAGCATTTTCCCATGGGAAGAATTCTCATAATTAATTCCAAAATCTTATTTCAAATCCATCTGGACCCTTAGTCCATTTGTAACTTTCCAAAATCAAAGTTCTAATTACTGTTTTGCTGTTTATTAAAAAAAAATTTTTTTTAAGTCCTTAAACTTGTATTTAAAACTTCTTTCACTAAGGATTGAAGGAAACTCACCCCATGTTTTCAGACTTGTTGATCCAAAGGTTCCTAACAGCTGGAAAGCAGTTAACAAGCAATTTCCAAAAGTGATTAGAAAAGAAAGTATGCGAACCCAGTGTCCTTTTAAAGGTGCCAACTGTGGTTCAGCAAGATGGCGATTCCCTTGTCTCCCAAAGCTCTAAACCTGCCAGAGACCACTGTCTTGTGGTCTCATTGTGAGGAGCAACTGTCTGGACCAATTGTAGGCAATCTCAAGTCCTCTCCTTGCCTGGAGAGGACGCATGAAGAGCTGGTCTATTCGCCAGCTCTTCATTCCTCTGCAGTCGCTGGCTCCACTTTTAACAGAGCCATTTTCAGTTTGCCATTTCTTTCCCAGAAGTTGCCAGTTACTTTTTAATAAAATTCTCATATAATAGCAATAGTTCTTTGATAATTTGTGTTGACGTTGCTATTAGATAGAGCATTGTCATATAAACATGCCGTAAATGAAATAGAAGGTGAGTTAAGTAAAACAAGTGTGTAGGATTTATTTAGAAGATAGCATCTAAATAAGATAGCTTCCAGTAAGATAGTTTCCTATATTTTATATGTATTATTTTATATGGACAGTTTCAGTACTCTTAAGATTTGTCTTTAAAATCTTAGGTTCAAGTAATAAGAGCTTTTGGTATCTTAAAACGAGCAGCTGCTGAAATAAACCAGGATTATGGCCTCGAGGCTAAGATTGCTAATGCCATTATAAAGGCAGCAGATGAGGTAAGGTGTAACATGCACATATGTTGCATCCTGAAATATTGTATTTAATATTGATAGATGATGGTCTTCTGCATAAAATGAAGTATTTGAAAAGTAACGTCTTATTTTTGTTTAGTCATTTGTTCTCAGTGTTAAAGTACCTAATTCCCTTAATCTGTTCAAAGATACTATGAATGTTTCATTATTAACAGGGAAAAGGATATAAACAGAGTGCACACATCAAAGCTCAACAAGTCAGTAATGTGGTGTTTTTTTCCAGTAATTTGATTGATGAATTGAGCATTGGCTCCTCTAAAATATTTGCATTTTTAAAAGTTTGGTTGGCTTGGCGAACTTTATTGCTTATTGCACTTTGTGTAATCTCTTATGCCTTATTTGTGGATATTTCAAAATGCATTTAAAATACAAATCATAGGTTGGAAGAGATCTTACAGGTTATCTATTTCACTCTCTTTCCTGTGTATGAATCCACTATTAGAGCATCCCCAGCAGATGACCACCACGAATCTGCTTAAATACTTGCGGGGGATGGGGGTGGACTGCACCATGTATGTATAAGGCAATATGTTTCATTATTGAACAGCTTTTACCATTAGAAAATTCTTCCTACTATCCAATTGAAATCTGTTTCCTTTAAATTAGAGCCTCCTGTGTCCCCCTGACTTCTCTTTTGTTGGCTAAATGTATGCAGTGTACCTAATGCCTGTTTCTTATACAGGTAGTCCTTGGCTTACATCCATTCATTCAGCGACTGTTCAAAGTTATGGCAGGGTTGAAAAAATGAACTTATAACTGATCCTCGAAGTTCGAGCTGTCATAGCATCCCCGCGGTCACAATATCATGATTCAGGTGCCTGGCTCACAATTACAATGTTGCAGCGAGCTGCGTCATGTGATCACCATTTGGGACTTTCCCTGCCAGCTTTCCACAAGCAAAGTCAATGGAGAAGCCGCCAGGGAAGGTCGCAAGTCGCCCCAGTAAGTCGCTCCTGCTGCTTTTTCTCCCGAGGAGCCCACTATGGAGTACGAGATCCCAGGAATCTCGTACTCCATAGCATCCCCTGCCCACCTGTACTCTGCAGCACATGCCCACTCACAGCACCCTGCCATGTCCTCTGCCAACCCTCCCAGGTCCTCTGCTGGCCCACCTGAGGCCTCCACCAGTCCTCCCATGGCCTCCACCAACCTGCCCACACTTCCTAGTGCCCCATGGCACCCCCCTGCCTGCTCCTTACCTGGGACTCCTGCCACCTCTCGCTTAACGACCTGCATATCCTAGGGTTATGACAGCTGCTGGGATTGCTGTCACTAAGCAAAGTGGTCATGTGACCTTGCGCTTTATTTATTTATTGTTTATTTATTTATTAAATTTTTCAACCGCTCATCTCCCCCCAATGGGGGAACTCTGGGTGATTCACAACAAACATTAAAACATAAAATATATACTGTAAACACATAAAACCTTAATTTAAAACATTACTAAGAAGAAGAAGGAGAGAACAAGAGGATGAAAAATTTGAGGCTGAAGGCAGAAG